GTTGTTGATGGGTGGGGGGGATGATGGAGGGGCTTGCACTAAAGTTAAGGAGCTCTTGTATTTACATGCTTATTCTTAATTTTAAGATATTTTTTTAAAATTCATTTACCTATTGTTGTTTTAACATTTATTATGTCTTAAAACAATTTATTAATTTAATTATTAATTTATTATTATTATTAATTTATTTTTATTGAATTAATTTATGTATGTATTTTTAAGATTTTGGCTCAGCGAGTGGGTCAAACATTAACATTTCTCGTGGTCCAGAACTCTTCATGTAATGGGCAGTTATTCAAAATGATCTAAGAGAACATAATAATGTCTAACATGTTCATGATGTGATGCTTTCCTGCCCTCTCCGCCCAGTCTCGCGGGCACAAGAGAACTGTGGATGGGACCGGACTGTCAACTTGACCAAAGGCTCCAACTTCACATTGAGGAGCCCTGACATTTCCATCACCAACCTAAGGTTCGAAGTCCGCGATTCTCTACAAGATCTTTGGATAACTGAACAACTGGCGTGGGCGATCACGGACCTCCACTTCACGCTGTCTTACGTTGCAGCAATGGTGTCTGTCGTTCTTACTGCTCCTAGCCATGTTGTCATCTTGTCCAGTAGCTTTTCTCTCTGTCTGCCTCTTCCTCTCTTTCCATCGAACTTGCCTGTTATTACAATATTTTCCAATTTTTCTTTCCGCATTGTATGTCCGAAGAAATTAGCCTGTCACTTTCTTATATTCGTCATAAGCTGTAATAATGGTAATAATAACAATATCAATTTATAATAATGATAATGATAATAATAAAAATAACAGTAACAATAATAGCAATAGCAATTTATACAATAACAACAACAATTACAATAATAACCACAATAATGATAATGTTAACGACAATGATTGTAATAATAACAATACCAATAATAATAATAATGATGATAATGATAATAAGAGTAGCCTAATAATAATAGCAGAAAAAATAATAATAATCACAATTACAATAATAATAAAGATAATGATAATGTATGAAAATAATGGTAATAATAACAATACCAATAATAATAACGATAATAATAATAATAAAATAATAATAAAGATAAAAATAACAATAATGATGATGATGATGATGATGATGATGATGATGATGATGATGATGATGATGATTCTGGTTGATTCTCTTTCCAGCAATGCAGAGCCATGCCAGATAACAATTTCCATGGCCAATTACACGCCAAGTCTAGTGTACAATGTACTTTCTATACACATGTACACCTTGAGCTTCAACTTGTCTGGACCTGGGGTCTGTGGCCAAGACTCGGAGCGTCTAGAGGTCTCATATTCTGTGGATAGCACGATTGGTATAGTAGAGAATTGTTGCTACTACTACTACTACTACTACTACTACTACTACTACTACTACTACTACTACTACTACTACTACTACTAC